GACGAAAAGAGGCTTCATTTTTCTCAGATATTGGTTTATTTTATTGTTTTATGGGATGACACCTGGAACAAGCGAAACGCAATTCTCTTAGGGCAAGTGTTATATTAGTGTTACCTGGAACAAGCGAAACGTAATTCTCTTAGGACAAGTTGTTATATTAGTGTTACCTGGAACAAGCGAAACGTAATTCTCTTAAGACAAGTGTTATACTAGTGTTACCTGCAACAAGCGAAACGTAATTCTCTTAGGGCAAGTGTTATTTATATTAGTGTTACCTGGAACAAGCGAAACGTAATTCTCTTAGGACAAGTTATTTTATTAGTTTTACTATGAAACATTTTTTTCCTTATAATAATTCATTTTGGCTTGTTTTATAATCATACTTGGATACTTTTAATAATTTTTAATCTCAATTCATTATGGGTTGGTTATCTATTTTTTATATTTCCATATATAATACATATTTAGGTAACGGTGTATTACTATATACATATTTAGGTAGCAGAGGGCGAGAATATCAGAGACGTTAATTATAATATTGTAATTCATTAGATTCATCAGTACATTATACAAACTTACACGAAACGACTAATACGTTAGCTGCCTTTGGTTGTTATTCTCGTGTACAAACTATTGATGATATTTATATTAGAATAAATACAATATATTCCATATAGACAGCAGTCATAAGAACAATACTTAGAGGTCATGTTACCACAGCTTTAAAAATTAAAACTGTATAAACGTAATGATAATTCAAGTCGTAATGAAATATTGAAAATAAGTTATAAAAAAGATTGATACAATAATAAAACAAACTAATTTCAGTAGTGTAAGCGAAAAATTGTACGTGTATAACGATTTCATTAAGTTCTTAAAAAATATAGTTACAACATCTAAGGAACAAATAAATATAAACAGAGCAAAATCTTGAAACCATGGATGACAAATCGTTTATAGGAATTTATTATTATATAGTAATACATCGTTACCTAAATATGTATATAGTAATACACCGTTACCTAAATATGTATATAGTAATACATCATTACCTAAATATGTATATAGTAATACATCATTACCTAAATATGTATATAGTAATACATCGTTACCTAAATATGTATATAGTAATACATCATTACCTAAATATGTATATAGTAATACACCGTTACCTAAATATGTATATAGTAATACATCTTACCTAAATATGTATATAGTAATACATCATTACCTAAATATGTATATAGTAATACATCTTTCCTAAATATGTATAT